TGGGATGAAGGCGAGTGAGATTAGTAAGAATCCAAGGGAAACAAAGTAAAAGAAAATAGTTTTCTTAGTGGCCAGGCCTTGGGGAGACATTGATAGACCTTTCTTTTAAAGACTGTTACACTGTTGGATTCGAAGGAATATTATATTTAAAGATAGTGGGTGCATATACATGGGCTATTAAGGCAATATGATAAATTCTGGCACATTTTGCACTGGGGTCAACTGCTCCTGGGCACAACATCTACACGTGTGCCCAGGACCACAGCACTTTGAGCCAAGGTGGAGCAGCTCTAGGATGCTGGGCTCCAGGTGGTGGTGTTGGGTGGCAGAGAGGCCAGCTGGGTCACAAGGGTGCTAAAGTGTGGGGCTAAATAGCAGCACCCCCACACTATAGTACCCTTGTGCCCCAGCCAGCCTGTCACCACCTATACATGCGTTTCAGTGGAATTAAGTACTCCACTGTAAGACAGTATTGTCCCTGACAGTACTATCTTACAGTGGAGTTAATTAAGTTTACTGTGCCCGAATACCAACGCAAGGTGTAGAAGGTGATGTTTACTGTGCAGCTAATTAGTCAACTCCGCAGTAAAGTGCATGTGTAGATGCACCCACTATGTGACATCCTGGCCATATTTAAGTCAAGAGGAGTTTTACCTTTTGAATTCAATGGGACCAGGATTGGGACCAGCTCCTGGGCATGCTATCATTGAGGGTGTCAAAGGGTTCTGCTTGGGAATGCTGCAGTGAAGCTGGTACATCTATCTATGAAAAATGAGACCCTTACAGGATGTAGTGTTTCCACCCCAAGTGTACGATCGATGCACGTAAAATGCCACAATTGGATGTGGCCCAATATTGGTCTTTTGTTGTCTCTAAGTGCCAGGGCTACTTCTGTAACAAAACTGCAAAGAACCTCCTTGTTCTGGTAGCACAGGCAACTAATGCACATCCTTCGCATCAGCCAGGAATGCTCTCCATGCTCCCCTAAAATGCTCCTTCAGAACACTGACTTCTAGTCACAATCTATAGCTGCTCTTAGAGCCCCTTCTGCTTCTGCTGCCATTGCCCTCTGATAAACAGCGAGAGCTGATAAATTCAGCACAAAGGAGAGTCAGTGAAGCACTTTATATGAAGGAGTTCAAGCAAAAAGCCAGAATCCCCAGGTAGCATGACATATTTGTGAGATAGGGACACACTTATAACTTAAAATATTGTATTGACCACGATGGTGCAGAAAGTTATAACAGTTATAGGATCCTATAGGACAAAGGTGGGTAGGAGAAGACAGTAGCGGTTCTCTCTCTGCTTTGCATATTACTAACCCAATAAATACCTTGCGCTTCAGTCACAGTAAAATGGAAATTTGTTTATAGCAATAATACTTACAGGACACTTTATGCTTCTGGAGCACTGTGTAAATATTAACCGATTTGTTTTTACAAACACCCCTATAGTTTGGGTATCTTGGTATTAAACAGCCTCATCTTACAAGGTGTAGAAACTGTGGCAGGAAGGCCGCATGATTTATTACAGCTAGGTATTGAGCCTGGTGGGGAGCCAAGAATGACCTCAAGATTTCCCTA